TGTTTTGACCCTTCCCTATCGTTCAATGATCATTATGCATACATCATTAACAAATCATCTTCTATGTTAGGTTTTGTAGGTAGAACTTGTTCCGATTTCAACAATCCTATTGCTATAAAATCTCTCTATTGTTCATTTGTTCGTTTTATACTGGACTATAACTCTGTCGTTTGGTCTCCCTACATGTCCGGTCCCAATGATGATATTGAAGCGATTCAAAATCGCTTCCTATGGTTTGTTGCATTTAAATGCGGTATCCATCACCAACGACACACATCTTCTTTACCATTACTAACACTAACCAATTTAGAAACTTTACAATCGAGGAGAATCAGACTCGATCTTTGTTTCACTTTTAAGTTATTAAATGACATCATAAATTGTCCTAAGATACTGATTAAATTAAATTTTCTAGTACCCACTTTTTGTACCAAGAACTTATATACATTCTACGCGCCATTCCATCGTACTAACTACACTAAAAATTCCTCCATTCCTAGGTTAATGTGCCATGTAAACAAATTTAACGTCGATTTGTTTATTTGTAACAATATATTCACTTTTAATGTAAATCTTAAAAACAAAGTAATTATTAGTTAATAATTATTGTACGTATTGTAATTTTATTCTGTTTTACCAATTTATATTTTACTTTATTGTATTGTAATGTATATTATTGTAATTTAAGTCAGACAGCACATGTAAACTTTACTCTACAAACTGATAGTCGTCTTCCTTGTATATATTGGGCCTAGTCCGTTTAAATTTTTCAATAAATAAATAAATATTGAAGTTGCATGAATTTGTCTACAGAAACAGCCAAAGTTAAACTTTCTGGAGAAAATCTTTTTTTTTAATTTATTGTAATGGAGTCTAATATTTTATAATAAATATTAATCTTATAATAGTCATAAACAGATATAGTTGACTCAACTGGTTCAGATGTTGCACTTGTTGAGGTAGTTAACATGTAATCATTAAGACGAGTCGCCTCTTTTCTCTTTCTCTTAGAATATAAATGATTATTTTTACAAAAACATTAAAAATTATACAACATGAATACTTAATTAAAATACAAAATAGATTACAAACCTCGTGCTTCATATGGAATATCAATTGTAATATTATTATCAACTGCAAATTTTTGTATAGATTGCCAAATCTCACTAAAAGATTCTGGAATACGTGAACTTTCGAAACTTGTTATAATACTATTAATTATCGTTACTGCTTTACCTAATGTGGCATTTTTGTCGTGCATCATGTTAATCATAACGTTAATGATACTTAGTACTTGGCGTATGACAAACAAATGAACAATAAAAGAGGCTTTTTGTAAATTAATAAGTATTCCTGTTGAAATAAAAGGTGTATGTAATGATTTTTAAATACATTAAAAATTATTAAAAAATGTGTATTACAACAATTAATACATATTACCTAAAGCTTCATTTACATCTTTGTCATTGTCTTCATCAATTTCTTCTTGTAAGACATGAATAATTGCTTGGTAACAGTCTAAGACAGCAACACGATTTTTGTATCTACAATTCCACCTTATATTACTTATTCTTCCAATCGTTTTAATTTTCAGTCCTAATTTTTTTGCATAACAATGAGTTGTTGATTTTTTGTAGGATAGGAAAAAAGATTATAAATACTTTCTAACATATTAAAGATACATCTAGTGTCATTAAATAAAATAAGTTAAACATGAATTAAAATTTAAACATTGGTACATAATTTTTTTAAACTTACTTTTACAAATTTACAACGAGATTAATACGGTGTGCCTTACAATGAGTATAAATTGCACATGGATATTTGTTTTGAATTTTTGCTTGAACACCATTAAATTTCCCAGCCATAACACTTGCTCCATCATACGATTGACCATTAATTTGTGCTTTGTTACTTAAATTATAAGCTTTGAAATGATCAAAAGTATGTTGACTCAGGGCTTTGGCATCTTGCTTAACTAAACAATCTACAAATCCTAAAAATCTTTCATGGACATTTAAATCTTTGGTGTATCTAACACATAAAGCCATTTGTTCTTCCTTGTAACAACTAAAAATATATTCAATATACACATTTTCAAAACAATTATTATTTATCCATATCATAATTTTAAGTTTGTAATTAATAATAGGTTTATAGGTACTAACCGTAATCACACATTACACCAAACACACCATCTCCTATTTCATGTATAATTGTGTCTCTAATACTATTAGTACTAAGACTAATAAATTGCTCTTGTATTGAATGACTAGTATAATTAATAGTTTTTTGAAAGTTTTCTGCAAATTCAGGTACATGTTTGGAAAACAAAATACGAGTTTCTATGAAATTCCCTAAAACAAACATTTTTGCACATAACTTTTATTCAGGAATAAATAATGTTGTACAGACTTATAATATTATATGTAAACAATTTAAATTTGTACCTATAAGGAAACCTCAAATTATATTATTTTAAGATAAATATTATAGACATAGATACCTTGATTTACAGATGTCTTTTTTTCATCATGACCTCTATATGCTAGTCCTTGAAAAGCTATATGTATAACTATGTCTATTAACATTTTAACATATTTCCTATTAGATTCAACCACCAGTTTATGATTTCATATCAATTGTGAATGAATACTACTATGTATGTTTTTAGACTTATGTCCAGCCCACCTAACCATAAATATTAAATGAACTTTAGTCCCATTATGTGCTTCAAGCTTCGTTAATTTTTTGTCTTTTGCACCTCTAGATCCACTCAACTAATAAATTAATGAAATTTATAATAACAAACATGATAATATGGCTAAACAGTAATATTTTATAAATTAGGCACTTTTTTCCAATTTTTAAATCCTATTGATGTGAAAGAAGGTTCTAATGAACCTATTTCAAAAAATGTCGCATGCGTAACAGAATATTGAGCCTTTAGAAATACTGGATTCGATCCATTCATATTTTGAATAGTATGATTCATTGAAACTCTGGTTCTGCGCTCCAAACTTGGTAAAAGGAAACTATTTTTGAAATTTTTAAAAATTAGGTATTTATTTTACTTTTCTGTACTTATGCCTATTTTATTTTATTTATTAAATATTATATAGCAAGCAGAGTAAGTTGTAAATTATTATTTATTCAAATACAAAATTAGGTATTTAGATAAGAATCAAAAATAAACACTATTTTTTAAATTTTAATTACCTTAACTCTGGTCTGAACAGGGCCTGAATTTAGGTCTCCTAAATCGGCCAAGTTATAAATATTGACCTCATCAATGAAGCCAGAGGCAGACGTTTTTACATCGACTGTGACTACACTACTTACCAGACCCGAGTCTTGTTGTGTTTCATTTACATAAATACATATTGTATTATTAACCCTTTTATTTTTTTTATTAAAAATGCTAAACATGTTGAATAAAAGAAAATTGGCATTATTCAACAGTTAAATAAATAAAAAAAACAGTGTTATTGATGTTTGTAAATTAATCAGTATTCATGTGTAATGCTGTAATAGGTATAACGTATGAACTTTACAAACAAAACATAATCAACTCTTGCGCGCATTCATAACACAATTACCGGGAAATTAACAGTTTTGGTTTTTCCCAATCATTAATATTTAATTTTGTACAAAATAAGAAAACTGAATATCTCAATGAACGATTGTCTTTGTCAGTAACAATAAATTAATGGGATATTGGAAACCAACAGTGCCATGTATCAACGTATAATAATAATGAGTTCTGAACTATATAATATGTATTATTTATATATTATAATATACAGAATGATCTTACTGATGTCTTACATAATATTTCTACATTTAAAATTATACAATATATATGTACATTATATATTGTATATTATAATAATTACCTATAATATAATAAATAATTTTTCTTAAATATTTTAAGCTATTATTTTTATTTAAAAATGTCTTCAACTATACAGTGTTTTAAAAATTTGCCAAAATTTTTGGGGGGCTTATCCCTTAAAGCCCCCCCTCCCGGATATCCGCCAATGACCATGCTTCCTTTCATCGATCCACTACACCACAAGTGGCATCATCCATAATCTTCCAACTGGGATTACGTGATTTCAGTCTCGTACTTGGTAAATTTATAATGTCCTCATAAATCGGCAGACCAGGAGACTTTAAGTATTTTTACCACTCTCTTCTTAATGCCTCTTCTCGTCTAAGGAATGGAGACCTTACATTAGCCATTTCAGGAAGCCACGGGAAGGGAGTTATTTTCAATGTTCTTGATATAATTCTCATTATTTAGTTAGACATCAATTTTCGATATATGCTTACTGTTGATCCAAACTGGCGCGCAGTATTCCGCTGCAGCAAACACCTATCCCTGTTTAATCATATTCAACCAAATATCAAGTAAATACAAATATAATAGATTTTCGAAATTAAACTGCATGATTTTATCGTAGATCTAGGTTCAGAATTAACTTTGCTTATATACTAGTACTAGTATATAAGTATATATATTGTACTAGTATTTTGTTATTGTTGTATTTAATAGGAGTAGCAGATAGGCAACAATTGGTGCTTAATTTTATATACCTTTAGTATTCTTACTTATATTTTATGCATGTGCATATTTTATAATCAATTACTTTATGTACCACTGACCCATAAAAAATAATAATAATAATTATGATTATATTATCACTTTACTATAAACTTCCTCTAGAATAGCACAATGATATTCACATTTTATCAAATCAAATAATGTTGTGTGCGTCAGAAAATATGCAGTTGATTTGTTAAAAAGTTAACAAAAAACATTTCATTAATGTAAAATAATCATATAATTTGAAATCTTATATAAAGGTAAGTACATTTCAAGTAGGTTTTTCAAAGTTATTAAATTACGTTTCTATAAATTTCTATTTAAACATTTTACTCAAAGATTCTAAATTAAATTATTTTTCTATAGATATTGTAAACCAATTTGGTCAAAATTAGAGTTACTACTTAGTGATCTAGCTCGGAAGTTTAATAAAATCGAAAATTATTAATTTGTTGAGTTTTTTGTAATAAAATTTAAAAATAATCTAGTTTCATATTTATTCGAAAAAAAATTTATGCAGAAATAATTCTTTGAAATATGCCAACAAGACAGTTACACGTAATAATAATTGTTAAGACGTTTTACATATTAATACGTATTAATATTAAAGTGTAGGAGAATAATACAATTGCTGTGTTCATGTGACGCATGACAGATACAATATTACCGTATTTATACGATAATTATGTGAGACTGTTTCCTACATTTGTCTATTTTGTTTTAATGCTTACTCAATTATTTTAACTGTGTCGACACTGTAACCCATGGATTGCTGTCGCAGAAACAAAAACACAACTCGGTCAATCAACGGGACTACTAGGAGCAGCTGCGTATCTGCTTATACTTCAGTGATAAGTCAAAATTATTCTGTTTTGTGAATGTACTTTAATTTTCAATAGTTGAGATTTAGTATTGTGCACTCTAGAAATGGCTGAGAAAAGAAAAGGCAAACGACGACGAGATGATGTTAGTATTTGTATCGTTGCTGTATCTAGCCAAGAAATAATAAGATTATTCTGACTTAAATAACGAGTCGCCAATTAGAGGCTCAGCCGGGGGTCAACTACGACTTGTGATCTAATATTTTGATATATATTGATGCTATTTAAAAAAATAGGTATTGTATTATATTGTTTTTGCAGGAGTTTGGATTAAATCCGACTATGTCTGACAAACCAACAAAGCAAGAGTATGCTATTGCTAAATGGATACGCAAAAATGTACAACACAAAAAAACGAAATTTGCGGGTCATAATGTTGAGTACTTCACAGGTAATTATAGTAATTTTTATTAGTAAAAATTACTTACTGAACAATTTATTTTATTTTTTGATTAAAGGGAGCAAAGCTGTAGATAGCCTTCTTGATTCAAAATGGGTGACTAGTGAAAAACTATTTTCTACTAGAGAAGAAATTGAACTTTATTTAGATGAGTAAGTCATTTAATTTTTAGTATAGAATTGCATGGTTAAAATTATATATTTTATTTAGTATGTTAAAACATCAGTTCTTTCATCGTGCTAAAAAAGTTCCTATCTCGGAACAAGAACTAAAAGCAATGAAAAATAAAAAATCAAAAAAATTAAATGATACAGATAAAGAAGATAAAAAAAAATCTGACAAGAAGAAAAAAGATGATGAAAGTGAAGAAACCAGTAAAGATGATAAAAATGATGATGAAAAAAATAAAACTAGTGAAGTAAGTTAGAGCTATCATGTTTGTGTTATACTAACTCAAAATCTTAGTATTTTCTTCATTAATCTAATTTAAGAAAATTTTGCTTTAAATTTTTTTTTAGTTTACTACATACTTATAAAATTTAAAAAAATTGTATTTTATGAGTAGCTGATATAAATAGTCATACTAAAATAAATTTGTTTTGAAAAACCATTAAACTAAAGTTTTTGTATTCAACAGATAAATTAATTGAGTGTATTGTTGTATTTATAATTACATACATACATAATTGTATGCAATATGGGTTCTGAAATTTATTTTGTTACTTATCTTAATCTTTGTTATGAAATTTATATATGAATATTTTTATAGGTGTTAAAAAAAAAGAAATGGGTAAGTTAATGGATTAATTAACAAATAACTCCCAAAATATCAATATCAACGGGATTAAAAAAGTTATTATTAGGGCTCGGCTTTATATTCATTTATACATTTTTTGGGCACTTTGAAGGATCTTGAGTTTGTGCAACTTTGTTGTAAAATTATATAGTAATTTAGAAAAATATTTCGTTCTTGAAGAAGTTAATCCTCTAATAATATATCTTAATAATGACATTTTAATAAGTTCTATAATCAATGAATAAAACTTTGCACTGGCAGATGATGTATTCAGAATAATATATAAGTTCACATCCTAGTTATTATACTGTTTATAGTATTGCCATATATAATTTCAAGTTACCTTTTTCTACTAAAATTTAATAAATTAGAAAGAAAATCAAGTTTAATTTAAAAATTGTAGTTCAACATTATGTCTATTTATATAAATTCAACTAAAACTCAATATTTTCAGGCAAGTTACTTGATTTTAGAAAATGTATTTAGTTTTTTTATGAAANCTAAGAAAAAATTGTGGCTGCGGAATAAAATTTAATGATTTTTCAGTATAACATTTTTTTTGTAATGTTATATCATTAATAAACACAATTAACTTATTATTTTATAATTATTGTTAAAATTATGGAATCTCTTTTATGATTAACATGATACTTATAGAAAAAAATTAGTCACTTTCTCATACATAATTAAAAATATCAAAATAACTGCCCTGAAATATTATTTGGTGTGCTTTTTTTCTCATTGCCTGATTTATTTTATTTATTATGTAAGGTAAAGGTCCCTAATAAATAAATCAGGCAAGCCCATAATATAAGGCATCTTGTTTCAGAAATGGCTTAGATGCCAATCATGTTTTTGGTGACCTCTCTTTTTGGTTCTCAATACTTGAATTTCTTTTTAATTGTTGATCTTAAAAATGTAAAGAATGTTTATGATTGTATAAGATTCAATATTACACGTAATTTAATATGTGTACTTTTAAAAAAATCTATACTTTGCTAAAATTTATTGATAGAATATATTAAAATATCTTCCAATTTAAAAAATTAAAAATTTATACTATCAATAAACTTATCGAATCATGTATAATATTTTTGCTTATAGGCTGAACGTAAAAAGAAAAGTCGAAAAATTAGATTAGAAATGCATATGGAACAAGTATTTGTGGACAATCTTGATGCCTATGTTTGGATTTATGATCCTATTCCATTTTATTATTGGGTAATTGGTACCTTTATTGTTTTTGGAGGAATTGGAATATGTTTATTCCCATTATGGCCTCCACAAGTCAGGTATATATTTATTTATACTACAAATCATTTTCTTGTATAAAATTATTATATAAATTCTAAGAGAAATTTCTACGCTGATTCCAAATTCAGATTTCTTCTATTGCAACTAGTTTTTGAAATAATGGATAAATATCCATTATTTAATAATTAAGCAAATATTTCTCAGTAAAATTTTCGTATAAAATATATATGTATTTATTTTTTTAACTTTCTTAAAATACTAGTATTTTTGCGCATTGTAGAGATTTTGTATAAATGACAATATTTTTGCATTATATTTACTCAAAATACACAAATTTAATATTTTTTTTTTTAAATCCTAATAAAATTATTATTTGTTAGTTGACATTTCATAATTT